TGCACTGCCGTGCTGCTCTCGTGGAGAACTGTGCAAGCCTGGGGGATTGCTTGCTGCTGACTGAAACGATTTGTATGCTGAGTCATTTTTCCASTTTCTCATATCTTTCAAAAAAAATGCACTTTTTTTTTCACGTTTCATTTCAGCCCAGAGGCAAATATTTCTGGAATACTTGCCTTTCTCCAAGGTATTATGCTTTTTAATAATGTTGTCACCACACTTGACCTGTCCAATTCAGATGATATCTACACTTCCTTTCACAAATRCACACATCTCCAAGCAGTCATTTATTGTCAAATCTTGCCAGTTGATTCTCAGAAACAAATATCTGCAGAGCTGCATTACCAGTCTACATTTTTTCATAATGTAATGGGCTATGTTTAGCCTAGTTTAGCTAATTTCTAATTTAAATTAGAATTTTAAATTGCATTTTTCCCTCAAACTAATAATAAAGTTCCATTACAACTCAGTGTACATTTCTTCAGATGCTGTCAAACTCCCATAGTAATTTTCCTGCTACAGTTCACTGTGTGTAGAATTTAGACTTACCTACTATTGACTTGAAGTTTATCAGTGATCTCTTAGGTCTCAAATATCACTGAGCTTTTTAACCTTCTAAAAAGCCTTTTTTTTTTTCCTGTGCTACTTATTAAAATAAATAGCATCATTACTGAAGGAAGAGGTAGTTGCACTGCAAAGGTGCCGAGAGCTTTAGTGCAGTTTACAAAGCTGTTGAGAGATTTAGTGGCACTTTATAAAGGGCGGACGAGGACATGTAAGCACTGCTTCACCTCAGCACTCCTGTGCCCTAGCATGAGAATTTCTGGTGTGATCTTCATGTATCATTTCCACCAGAGGCTGATTCTGCCCCAGCCACCAGACCTGGGGTAAAAATGACTGTCCCACTGTTGCCTGATTCCTTTGCACTTTGCTAGACCCAGCAGCCTGGTGCCCTCATGGGGCAGAGTCCCTTGGAAAGAGCAGAGCCAGTCCCACAGCCCAGTATTCCATCCCAGCACAGTCCCACAGCCAAGCAGATGCTCTCCGTGGCTTTGAGGACAGCTTAGAGACAGGCAGAGAGCTCARTAATACTCACAACATGAATTTCTCCTTTCTCTTGCAGTCAATTTTGTTGTCAGCCTCAATCAAGCGGGAAGGAGATTCTCCAACAGCATCACCCCACTCTTCAGATGACATCCATCACTCAGACAGATACCAGGTAAGCAGGTGGATGCTGTTGCTGGTCTCAGCCTTAGGCAGGGAGCCAGTTCAGCCCAGTGCCCACTGCTSTCTGTGTGTGACAGCCTTGCTCTTGGCTATATATCACTGCCCCAGTTTTCGTGCCAGCATCATGGGAACAGGAGCACCTCACAGGACTGCAAAGGTGGGCTTTTGTCTGCAAAGTCCTCCCAGCTCTGACTAGAACCACTGTGGTATTTAAAAATGTTTTAAAATGCTTGTAGAGGTTTCTGTTGCATTATTTTCACCATTTTYATCTCATTTCCATGGCTAGGTTTGTCATTAACCACCCTGTGCCACTGCRATACTTTCAGAGAAGTGACTTTTTTACTTATGACTCTCACCCAAGACAGAAATGAGTTTGGACCATCCACAGCCATGCCAGCCTGTTTTATAAAACACTCTCTGCCCAGAGGCGCAGCAGGTCTTGACTTGGGTGATGCACTGAGTAAAACTTGAGGGAGATGGAGCAAGAAAAGAATAAAAGGGCAGCAGCACAAGTACAGCTGGGCTGGTTTTAAGTCTATCTGTATTTCTGGGGCAAGCTGGCACGCTTGATTCCAATACAGCACACATCCAAACTGTGGCTGAAAGCCTGTACTCAACCACTGGCTTCAAGTAGGCTCTGAAAGCTGCAGATAAATTCATGTTGGTCATCAGCACAGACCCAAGCGTGTGTCCACCTGCTGTGTGGACAGTCTGGGTGGGCTAAGGCTGTACCAGCATGGCAGATGCCCATCACCCTCTATACTGTGGTGCTCTGCAGCCATACCCTGTGCCCAGAATTAGGCAGGTACTCACCAGACACTTTGCACATGTCCAAGTCTGTGTTTGGACCTGCAGAGAGAGGCTGATGACCAATGCTGAGGCTCTTAAGTGGGCAGACCCAGTTACAACATGTTCCTGAAGATGGGTCCTGTTAATAGCAGATTCATACACTTGTTGCCCATTATTCCATCCTCTGTCCAATTTATTTGTTGTATTAGCAAGTGTGGATCATATTCCCATGTGGCTTTGAGTTATAACTTGGTGTCACATCACAGCCGCTTTACCCTCCCATGAACAATAAAACCTGGTGCAAAGTGAGAGAAGCAAAACTTGCAGAAGATRCAGAAATGCCTGTTTCAGGTAATCCTGCTCTCTTTCCTGCCTATTTATTTAGGYTAATAAATAATRTTMATTTCAAAAGGTTATGGAATAGACTTTTGCCATGGCCCCCTTTGTTGGAGAACCACCCTCCCTTCCCACTCCGCCAGACATCAGTCTCTCTGAAATTGGTGGCCCCTTGCAGCCCTCTGTTCCGGTACATTTTTATTATGTCATATTTGAAGACAAATACTCTTAGCAGAAGCCCCTCTGCATGCCGAGTCCAGCTACTCTCTAATGTGCTTTAAGTTTGTGAGCATATTTTATGGAGGGTTGCAGCCCTTAATGCAAATGTGTAATGGGWGTTTTAAGTCTGCACTGCAGGGACAAAACACCTCTGGGGCCTGATTTTCATTTACAGTGGTGTTGGCTGCATTATGCTGTGCTGGCAGTGTAAAGGGACCTCAGAGTGGGTGCCAGGGGTGTGTAAAGCCTCGGTGTATTCTTAATAAAGCCACAATATGAATGAGAATTGAGTCTGCCTGGCTTACCAAGGGAAAAGCTCAGGAAGCAGAGCAGAAGACTCTCATGGYGGTGACTTTAAGGGCCACAAAATTTAGCTTTCCATATGCAGAGGTGTGCTGGAATTATGAATGTCCCTTGTGCTCTATCTAACCATGATTGTACAGTGTATTAGTAACATGCTGGAAAGTGAGTTATTGGCATTTGGGTTTTCAGAATTCCTGTGGCTCAGTTTTCTTAGTCTTTGTGCTTATGTGCCATGGGGATCCTTAGGGAAGGAGATTTATGAATAGGAGTGGTATGGAAATGGGGCTGGCACAGCACTTGGGCTGCTTGCATTGCTCCCCATGCTGGGAGAGAGCTGCAGCAAAGGCMGTGGGGTGGCTCCTGGATGTGGGGAGGAGGGGTTCGCTTGCCTCCCTGCTAAGTCTGTTTGCTGGAGTTCGGTACATGGACACTGATCAGAGTGGAGTGGTGGCAGCAAATGGATTTGGTCAGTAGTCACTGCTCCTCTTAAATATAGTATGTGTTGTCAGACAGAGYTTTGAGTAAAAATAAAACCATTTTAGTTACATTTAGATAAAACTCTGAATACCCRGTGGAGAAATCAACAGCAAATTACAAGTGATACATCGTACTGCAAAGATGGCATTTCAGGCTTGGAGGGAGCCTGCAGAATATTTGTGACTGAATAGCAAAACTGAGAGCCTAAAATCCTTGTCCAAGGAAGGCTCACTGCCCTCCCTCCGAGGTCAGGTGAGCGTGCCTCCCAAAAGACAGYTCAATTCATTAAAAGGGTAAACCAAACAACTGGCAGCTTTGATTTTGTAAGTAACCACATGTATGAAAATCCGGCTGTGAGTTCAGTAAGGAGGCAGAGCTGGGATGTACAACGGTCAGGACTGTGCAAAGCTCACCAGCCTAAATTGTCGACTGCCCATCATCTTCTGGGGCMAGGAAACGTATCAGGGGGGTTTTGTTCTCCATCTGAAGAAGCGACAGACTGTCAGATGCCAGAGAGGAGACCAAAAACATAGCTTTGATTCCAGGAAACAAAGCCTGAGGAGCCTGCTGAGATGGGATTTGTGTGCATAGGAGCCTCTGCTGCCCAATTTGTAGTCCCCAGCTCTTGGGCTGGTCCGCTGAGGCCATCCTCCACCACAGCTGTGCTGCAGATATGGGAGAGAAATCCATGAGACAGCTTTGACCGCTCAGGTTTGCTGAAATGTGGAAAGGAGAGGGAGGAGAGAATGGAAAGTGCAGGCTCCACCTGTAGCCAAGGTGTCCCCATGGTAGGGACCATTCCTGGGTGTCAGAGCCCCAGAGCTGAGGTGGATGTCCAGCCTGGCCTGTGCAGATACCGTCAGTGGCCGGGAGGACAGGGCTCCAATTCCTGGGGTGCTGCTTCCCAGGGCTCCACTCTGTCAGCCAGGGCAGGCCCTGGGGGCTGCACGGGGGGCCAGGGCTGGATGGGGCCATTGGCCACCTGCCTTTGGTCTTGTTACCCCTGGACCCTGATTGGCCAAGACCCCTTGGGCCCCCTGTCCCTGATTGGGCAGAGAAAGTTGCCCTGGTGTCTGATTGGCCAGTTTGCCTTTGGGTTATTTTTGGGYCTGACCTCTAAAAGGCACTCAATTGCTATTGGACAAGGAAATTGCTTCCAAGTTGCACCCAGACTCTGAYTGGTCAACTGCCCCAGGGCAGCAACCTGCCTTTGGGGTCTGATTGGTCACGACCCCTTGCGGTCCAGCAAGTCCTGATTCCTGATTGACCAGGCACCCCATGGTCTCAGTAACCCCTGATTTCTGATTGGCCAGAAACCCCATGGTCTCAGTAACCCCTGATTTCTGATTGGCCAGAAACGCCAGGGTCTCAGTAACCCCTGATTTCTGATTGGCCAGAAACCCCAGGGGCTCAGCAACCCCTGATTTCTGATTGGCCAGAAACCCCAGGGGCTCAGTAACCCCTGATTTCTGATTGGCCAGAAACCCCAGGGTCTCAGTAACCCCTGATTCCTGATTGGCCGGCTCCCCGGGTTCCAGCCGCCCCGGGCTGTGATTGGCCGGGCTCGCCGGGCGCTGCCGCCCCCTGTTGGTTGTCATGGGAACTGCCTGGTGAACTCTCACCCGCGCGCCGCGGGTCACATGACCGGGGCCAAYATGGCGGCGGCCGCCGGGGGCTGATCGGCGGAGCCCGCCGGGCCGCGCGGCATCCACCCGCATCCCGGGCCCGTCGCCCGCTGCCCGCCCGCGGCGCCCGCGGCTATGCAGAGCGGCAAGAGGGGGCCCGGCGGCGGGGGCCGGGAGGAGGTGGGTGCTGCGGTGGGGGGGAGGCCCGCGGACGGTGCGTTGTCCCGGGGATGCGCGGGGTGCGGGGGGCCCGGGCCGGGCCTTGTGTACCGGCGGAGGGTGAGTTGTTTACACCGCACCCTGACGTTTCTCCGCTCTTGTCTTTCCTCTGCAGACCTTCCTGCGGGTGCGAGCGAACCGGCAGACCCGGCTGAACGGTGAGTGTGGCCCCCACCGCGCCTACCCCTCCAGAGAAGTTTCCAGAGTTGGGCCGAGTTATGTGACTCCCCCTACACTCCCACACCGCAGGCTGGCAGCCGCCACCAGCCTCGCTGGTCCCTCGACGTTCCGGGCAGGGGTCTGAGGCCCTCCACACTCTCGCCCGGCTTCCCAGGGAAGCAGTTCCCACCTCCTGGATCCCCCCAGCCGGTGTAAAGCAGGCCCCRAAACCCGTGTTTTCTGTTTGGGGCCCCGCTGCTGAGCTTTCACAGCTCACATGGCTGAATCTTGCAGTAAACTTTCAGGAAGCCTGAGCGTCATCTGACGTCATGGTTTGTTTTGTTTGGATTTTTTTTCTCTCAAACCCACAGATGCTGGTGTGGTATTTCTATTCATGTATCTCTGGGTGCTCCTAACAAGTAAACAACTATTTCTAGTGGAAAGAGGCCTGGTGTTTAAAAAAACCAAACCAGAGGTCACTTTATTTCAGAGAGAGGAAGCCCATCTCTGTGGTTTGAAATTGGCAAGAAAASCTGAAAGAAAGCTTCTTTTACTAGAGCTGAAGAAGTTGAAATTTTTCTAACAGTTCAGAGGTCAGAATTTACCATGTACACAGGTTCTATCATAGTCACAATGTTCTATCATCTGGTTTTGTATTGCTTGTAGTTACGTTAGTATGTAACATTTAGTCAGAATTTGGTTATTCAGGCTATTAGGAGTGTCAGGAAAATTAATCCACAAACACCGGAGGTCTATGTCCAAAAAGCAGACAGGTGTCCTGCAATTTTATTCAAATAAAGGGAGAGAGTCCACTGAGGCACACGCCCGCAGGGTTTTCTCTCTCAGGATTTTGGAGGATGCAGCCCCCTTTTATCCTAAATTCCTGGCCATAAGTTGCTGTCTTCCTTTCTCCGTTGGCTGAGGTACTAGGAAGATACATCCTTCCCGAACCGCCTACCACATATTGCCCCTTAAACCTGTCATTTTACCCCAAAGTTCCAGTGCAGACCCACTTTTCTTGTTTCAGGAGTCAGGCAGTCTGGACTCTGTAGCAAACTTGCTGTTTGCAGTTAGGAGAGATATACAGACTCATTTCCAAGACGTTAACACCATACCCTCACCCATGGAATTGTTTGTAAAGACTTAAGCACACATATTCCCTATCAGGACACTCATTAATCTCAGGCTAGTTCAAGATAACACCTCTGATGTTGTGCTGATGGAGTTTATTTAGAAGAAGATMTACTTGAGCAAAAGAGCAAAATTCTTTAGAGTGTGCTGATAGCAAAACAGTTTGCTTGAATTTGAAGCCCTCCATGTTTAGCGTAGTCTTACACAAATAGAAGCTYCTGACCCAGAATTTTGATAAGTTAGACATAGCTGAATTCAGAGCTAGCTTCGGGWTTTTTTAAATATCAACCCAGAGGGCAAAAAAACTGCAAACTCTTGAAAGTCTGTTAAGTCATACAACAAAGAAATTAGTTGCCTTGCATCCATTACAGRTAACTACTGGTGGGTGCTCACTCTGCACTCCCAAGATGAGTGCACAGTGTTGACAGGCGGACACAGAGACTTCACATGGCTCAGGTACACCGAGGTGCTGCTCTGTGGTGACTTGTTTTGTATGACAGAGGTCTCTGGACTCAAGGATGTCAAACTGTTCCTTTATCACAGTTGGATAGCCATCTACGGGCTAAATTCCCCCCTTCAACCTTTTTTCAKGCCAACAATGTGCAGTCACCTTATTTTAAATATTTTTTTAAAGTCTGAGCCAGAYCTGACAGATTCTTGGTTTTGTGGAATCCTTCAGTATGAGAGGAAGCTCTTGACGAGAGCATGCTCTGCWGAACTGGCTCAGCAGTGCTTTGTGKTTTTGTCTCTGACCCAAAGCAGGGCTGAGGCACAGTCTGGGTAGACTGTGATCTCTCTTGGGAACTCCTCTTGGCCCTTCTTGTTGGATGTTTTTGTCAATGTGGGCTCATCTAAAGGGAGGTAGGTAGTTTTGTACAGCATTTGCATTGTTTTTGGTGTTTCTGCTTTTTTTGTATGTACCTTTTGGGGTACAGCCGTATTCCAAATGAAAGAATATATATACTGCCCTGATCATGCTGGGGTTTCCTGTCCATTCTCTTCTTCACCCTAAGATTAAGAGGGCCCAGAKTTAGGGAGCTGGATGCAGAAATTCAGGTGAAGTGTTTTAGGTCCCAAAGAAGGYCAGATTTATCAGAACTGGTTCAATTTGACCTTAGCTTTTTGTGACTGATTACTGCTGTTCCCAGAACATACCTGTAGTGATGCCTGGTCCAGTCTGCACCCAGCCAAATAGCTGGAAGGGTTCTACTGCTCCTTTCTCTGCAGGTGTCTTTACATTCATACTTCTGAACTTTGCCTGCTTTCTTGTTTCTTCCTTCACATTGGTTAGCATTAAAATAACTTTGTGATATTCGTAAGCTTTGCCACATTATTGTTGAAGATTTATTTAAGCAGTATTGCTTTAGATGGAGAACACCRGAGTGCTTTAAGGAAAAAAACCTCTCATTTGTTTATATCTCGTATTTTAATGAGCTTCTAATCAATCATGCAACTTTAGTTTCCCAGTCTTGATTATTTTACACTAATAGAAGTTGTGTAGGATTTGTCCAAAGACAGCTGGCTCTTTGTTTCATACTCTTACCAACACACTGCAGAAACTTTGGATATAGCAAATGCAGTCAGTCAAAGAAAAATCTGCTTCATTTGTTTTATTGTGTTTTACATGTACTTTTCAATATTGTTGTAACCAGTTTATCTTGGTACTTCTGTCACACTTTTACCAGCTAAGTTCTAGAAGCACTTCAGGAAACTCCTCCCATAAAAAGTGCCCACAGTGTTTACTCTTCTTCTACATTGTCCTTGACCCAAATCTCAGCTGCCCAGGTAGTTTGTGCCTCAGTCTTGTTTGGACCTTGATATTTTCCATCCTGCTGTGCTCATTCAGGAATGTGCAAAAGGAGCTAAGGGAAGAGAAGGTGGAAAAGGAAATGCCTTCTGTGAGCTGTGGTTGGCCTGGCCACCACACAGTTAGGTCCTGATAGTTACATGGTTCACACAGACCTGACTGGCTAGACTTTTAACTCTGTAAGTCAAACCTGTAACTTAAATTGAGCTGTAAGTAAGGCAAATGCATTTTCAAGCTCTGAGCAGGAGATTAATGTTCTGTCTGTTAGGCTCTTGGTTGAGTGTTTATATCCCAACTTCCCTATTAACCTCAGTGAGTTAATCCTGTGCCTCTCACCTGTGCTAAACTCTTTCCAGAGGTTGTTGTCCTTGTGAACCTAGGAGTACGAGGTGCTGATTCCTGATGAACCCATGTGACAAAGAAGGCATTTCTTTCATTTACCTTATTTCCAGTGGTGCCAGACAGGAGRCTTCAAGCCACCCTATAAATCAATGCTTGTGGAGTTTAGCAGTGTAGATCAGGTTAGGTAGTCATTCAAAATTAGAGGCACAAAGTTATGGGTTAGTATATCAGAACACAGGTTCGGCAGGTTCAGTAGGTGCCAACCTCAGAGAATAGTGTCAGATTGAAGATTGCTGAAAATCATGTGTGGAACTTGGGCCGTGCAAATCTGAAAGCCACACTGAGACCCTTTTGTGAATCTGGCCCTTACTGTTCTCTCTCAGGCAGAGCAGCAGCAAATGGTACTTAAGGTCTGAAACAGATTCCTTCTTGCCCATCTGTTTTCTTTCTTTTGCTTATTCTTGACATGTTTTTTTGTGCTCTGCCACTGCTGCCTTTGTTCCCTTGCATCAGATGCTCTGGATGAGTTGATCATCCACAAAAGCTTTTTGTGATAGGTTAACAAAAGTAGATATAACCACTCCTCAGGACTCCTCTAGTAGATTTGCAGAGAGCAGGTGCTAGCTCTTGTGCTTGAATACCTTTAATTCAAATTTAGGGTTATTTCCAAAGTTGGCATTCTCAGGTGAGCTGTGAAATAGGTCCTTACAAAGCTCCTTTTGCACCTCCCTGAGAAGCTGATTCCAGCTTTGATGGTGACCTTAAGCCTGTCCCTCAAAATAGGCCATGCAATTTGTTGAAGCACCACCACCACCATGTCCTGTGCTTTTGTAGCTGATGAGYGGGGGAGGAGTAAAGCCTGAGTGATTTTCACTGGAAAGGAGACAAAAATGTTTCCACTTAATTTGATTGGCCTGCCATTGCAGGAGCTGCTAATGATGTCTGCATAGGACTCAGGGGACCACTCAAACTGGTGGAGGGAATCATAAGAGATATTGCTAGTAACTTAATCATGTCCTTTGATTCTGCSGGAGAGGTTGGTGCAATGTCCACTGCTAGATGCTATGTAAGAGCACTTCTGAGGTAATTAGTGTCCTGTCCTGAAGGTGAATTTTTGCTTGGGGAGGGACAAAAACTAAATCCATTAGCTTTTCTCACAGGAAGTTTTGCTGGACTAGAGAGTAACATGATCTTTAGGCATTAATAAGGTTCACCCTTGATGGAGGGAGCCCATTGTTAGAAAAGATCCTTGGTCTCTTCTGCCAATAAGGCAGCAGTGGTGGGTTGGCTCCTCTCTGCACTTGTGGGAAGGCAGGGACCAGTGTGCCCTCAGCAGCAGAGGCTTTGTCAAGTGCAGTTTGGCTCCTTTTCTAGTGCAGGCAGCCTTTCACCTCGCACAGCCCTGTATTGGTGACTACAATACTACATATCAGGGAAGGAAGAATGTATAATTCCATTATACAGCACAGATCCTAGGTTAAGTTGGAGACCATAACTGAGATCCCCAGCCCTTGCAGAGGGTTCCAGTTCTTGCTCACCTCTGTGTGATATTTTCCCATTCATGTGCTGTGGTGCCTTAAACTCCCTGGGTGCCTGATGGTTTCGTGTAATCTGAAGGAGAACATGCACTTGGAGCAGGAGCAGCGTATAGGGTAATGTACATCTTTAAAAGTGAGGCCTTGGAGGTGCTGGAAGCTCTCTAATAGCCTAATAATAATTATTAATGCTAATAAAAATTAGTGAACCTCTCACCTCCTGGCAGAAGGTTGGAATAATAACTATGGAGTCTTTGTTCAGTTGGAGGTAAGAATGGGTCAGGCTTGTGCAAAAACCTCCTTCGCTGAGTTCTGCCTTCTTTGTACATCCAGTCCTCAACTGCCTGCATTTTTATCTTCCTGAATTACGGGAGGGAAGGACTTTCTTTTTTTCCCTACTTGCGACAGGAGCAAGGGGGAGAGGGATTAGTGAGCTAATTAGAAATGATCGCATCTATCAACACTAATTAGCCATCCTGCGGTCTCACTTGCGTGTTCTTTTGAGCTGCTCCCCTTCGGGACAGCGCCACAATCAGCCCCTGCCTTTGGGGCCGCTCCGTCCCTGCCGCGCTGATTGGAAGTGATGGCCGGGCTGCGTGTGTCGGGCGGGGACAGCGCCGCTCGGATGTGCTTTCCTGGCTGYTCCCTTTCCATTCCTTCTGTCACCAGGGGCACCCTTGGCCTCTATGGGCACAGTGCTGCCGCTGCTGATGACCAGCAGAATGAAAATCGCAGGGGGATTTGTTTTCAACACCTCTTTCCTCCAGTGGCTTTTTTACTTGTGGCACCGCAACTCAAGGGGCTGCTTCACTGCGGAGCTAAATGAGCCAAGATAGGGGCTGGCTGCTGGGTCTGGTGTAGAGCTGGAGCAGAGTGAGGTTCTATTCCCAGCTCTGCACTAACATTTCAGCAGCAGATCAGGTGCTTGTTCTGGGCAAAATGGTCCCAAGAATTTATCAGTAGAAGACCTAAAATAAGATGTTTTCCTTTTGTCACTGCTGCTGTGCATGGACAGGAGGATGGCAGTAAAAAACCCCTAAATATACTAGAAGATTCACCAGGCAGACTGCTTTAGCTGAATTGTTTGGCCACGGGGAGTCCTACCAGAATAATTAAACTGCTCCTTTCCTTYGTTTCCCTGTTAAAAACATGATGAGGTGAGAGAAATTTGTGTCTGCAGTCAGGTTAGAGAATGCTTTGTTTCTGTTCTCCAATCAGTTGGGTATTTGCTTTAGAATGCTCAAGTTGTGTCTGATTCCATACTCCTTTCCTATTTTGTGCTGGCTCTACAGAGCTAGTGAGGCAAGGAAAGAGCGTCCTAAACTTGCATGAAAGAGCCATGCTGTAGGATATAGGTATGCACTAAACCAGAACTTCACAAGCCCCTTGTGCACTAAAATACAAGCTAGAAAGAGCGTGGCTTAACTGCCTAAAAGAGAGGGCTGTGGAGCTGTCAGTGTGGCGTACCCAAGCTGGAGCTTGAGCAAATAAAATTTAGACAAATGATAAAAGCTCTGTGTGKTAACGTGAGAGTCTGTGTTGTTCAAAGTGCCAGATATCAAAAACATTCTTGTTTTGGTCTCAAGTTGCTGTTTCTTATTCTAGGAACATCACATTTATAGAATCCTTTCCAAGATGTGAGGAGTAGAGATTTATTTTTCAGGGAGTTTTCCCACGTATATATCTCAGTGAGGAAAAGACAATGCCCAGGGAATAATTTGAAGCTTTCTGAGTGCTGGAGCATGAGGAAATATTTGAGATGATGAATACTGCTAGTTCCAGASTGTGGAAAAGTATATGCTAACCCAGAGAGTCCTGAGTCCAGGGAAGCCAACAAGAAAGTGTTGAAAGAGGCCTTTCAGGTCTGTGTCAATGTGTTCAGCTGAAACTTTATAATTCACTTGATGTGTGTGCTCTAAACTGATGCGCTTTAGAAAACAATTGACGGAAACTTTCGTGTACAGTGGTCCTTCTCATCCTGGCATTCCAGCAGCTTTCTCTGACTCGTTGGCTGCRGGGAGCTGTTGATCCCACGGTGTTCAGGCATGAAGGCTTTCAGAGCATGCTGCAGTGCTCACAATGTCAGTAACGATTTCTGGCTAACACAGCTTTTTGGTGGTGTCATCTCTCATTATCACATGGGCTTTCCTTGGGCTTTTTCTTGTCTCTCATTCAGAATTTTGACCTTCCTTATTAATTAAACAGTGACTTTCCTGCAGCCAGTGATTGAGTTATTCAGTAATACCTGCCTAAAGCCATCATAATAAAAGGCAGAAGTTCTTTTTAATGCAAATGATTTGGTTCCAGATGTTTTGATCGCATTAAATGATGGCTCAAATTAACCAGCTATTGGATTAAGCAACAGGCTACCTTGGCTGCTTTTTCTAATCAGTGTGATTCCTAACTAACATGTTTGTTTCCCAGAGCATATCCTCAAGAAGGCAGTGTATCCTCCAGTTTTCATGAAATAAAAACAAYAGAGAGCCAGAAGCTATCTAGCATGGGTGCTGTGTTTTTCACAGCAAATATCTTTCCTTTCCATGACTGTTACCTGCTACCAAGATGGTGCTCTGAGTTGTTTGTGGTGTTCTGGGAAGGAATTTTTCAGGGTGTASAGGAGGCTCTGTGGTTCTAGAAATGATTGTTAAATACCTTGTCCAAGGCTATCTGGTGCTACATCACCCTTCTACATTCTAAGCRAGTTCTTGTAGAGGGAATAGATGTATTACTGGAATGGCCTCGGACTTAAAAGGCAAAATCCAAAACAGGATACAGTGGCTTGATCGCTCAACTTTGGAAACAATTTCAGGTTTTCAAGGGAAGGTTTTTAACCATTTTTATATCATGGGATGTGCAGCAGATATTCCCTCTCCTAATTGTTWAATTGTGAATAGCTGCCTCTTTAGAATCAGAGTGCTCAGCTACAGGTTACAGATTTTCTCTGAAAAATGTCAAGTAACAGTCTCTGTACTGTTTATAGAGGTCAAAATAGGGAGTTGCAATGGGATTTTCTGGTGTGAAATCTTACCATTTCTGCCAAGGGTTTATTATTTGGACCTGAGCAATAAAGACTGGATCTACAAACTTGACATGTCTTCCTTTTTTGTTTGTTTTCTTTCCCTGGTTTCTCCATGCAGCTCGGATTGGAAAAATGAAACGGAGGAAGCAAGACGAAGGGCAGGTATGTCCCCTCTGCAGCCGACCTCTGTCAGGATCCGAGGAGGAGATGAGTAGGCATGTGGAACAATGCCTTGCAAAGGTAGAGGCGCAGCAGGATCACCAGCTGCCATTCCCTTCTCCCTACTCCCAGCTTTGTCTGCAGTTGACCTAATGTGGGGCAAAAACTAACGTTGCTGAGCTTGCAGGCAATGCTAACTGTCTCCCTAAGATCTGTAGTCACTTCTCTTTGTCTGGGAAGATGGATTCTTCTGGATTTTTCTGCTGTGTTGCATTAGTAACCTTTTTACTTCATGCACCCTTTCGCTGCTGCAGAAGTCTAAACCCTTTCACTGTCACAGAAGTCTAAATTATAGATTATAAAGATAGAGCTATTGARGTTTATGAAGTCTTTTGTAGGACTTCAAGCATCCTGTATAGCACATGAAGAAGAGTTCTTTCTTCCCTGTGCCTTTGACACCATTAGAATTATTGTTTGTTGGGTTCTTTTGTAACAGACTGGGATTTGTAAAAGTTGCATGACCATCTTACTCCCAGCAGTGCATTTAAGCAGAACCGTTCTCTTGCTGTTCATCCCAAAGACAGCAAGAAAGAAAGAAAAACTAGCCCTGGGGGAAGGATAGAGTTGTGTCATAGGGCTTTTTGTTCATGTTTCTCAAAAMGAGCCTTCAGTGGAGGACTTGTTGCCCCAAGAAGTGCATCATGTAAAGAGAGGTGTATTTTGATGAGTATGTCCCAAAAATATGTTACAAGAGAGCACTCCTTATAGGGGTCAGAGGAATCTGTGGTATCATGTTCTTCCACGGTAGAGGAATTTTGCATGTAAGACAGGGGTGTGCACGTTGAAATGAACACCAGCATTGTTGYAGGGAACAGACCTTAAATTTCCTTGTGTAAAAATATGAAACTTGCAACCTGTTTTGATCTTAAAGTTGTGAAGTTCTTCCAGCACCTCTTTATTTCTAGTTCAGGTCAGTAAGAACAGGGGCAGGAATAGAGCCTGSAGTACCCTCCATACTTAGGTGCCCTGGGAACAGTCCAGTTTTTCTTCCCCGTCCCACCATGAGTTATGAACCCCAAAGAGCTATTTCSTGCATCTCAACACTGCCCCTGCTTTACCCCATGCAGAGAGAAGGTTCATGCATGACTGAGGATGATTCTGTGGATATCGAGAACGAGAAYGGGAACCGTTTTGAAGAGTACGAGTGGTGCGGACAGAAGAGGATACGGGCTACTACTCTCCTGGAGGGAGGATTTCGAGGTACGCCAGTGTTTTGGGGACACTTGTAAACCATTCTGCTTTGGAAGTTGATCATTACCTGGCTTTAGAGGGACATGGGGATTTCCCTTCTACAGAAGGCAGAACCATTGGCCTTTGCCAGAAYGTAAAGTGATTGCAGTTTTTTGTCCCTCTTGAGTGATGAGAGTCAAAATTTGTGTAAATCTTGAAGAAAGCATGGGGTTATTTCCTTCTCAGGAAATGTGGCTGAAGAGGGAATGGGTAGATCGTTTGACGAAAATAGCATTTTATATCTCACACATAGTAAGAAATACATGGCAATATGTGAAGAGAGGGAAATAGAAATGAAATTGTAAAAATTCCCAGCCTGGAGTGACGAAAGCTGGTGTATCAGCCTCTGGTGATGTATTGGAGGTGACAGCTAAGTCGCTTTAGCACCTGCATAAAATATTAAAGGGCCAGTTGTGCATTTATCACTCCATCCCTTTTAAGGTTGATAAATGAGAATCCAGGAACCTGCTCTGCACCTCCAGCACTGCAAGCCCTTAGGGCTCTCAGACAAACACATTTTATTTTTCCTCCTTCTTTTGCRCCTTCCCCAGTGACGGGGAAATCAGTTACCAAGGAGAGAGTGAGTTATGGCAAAATTTGACCTCTCGTGAGCTTTATTGGTGAATGTAATTTTAGCTAGAAACCTGGCCCCTTTCTTACATTCAGCCCTTTGGCCTTAAAGAGGAGGATTTACTAAACTGTTCGTTGGCATGAACCTCAGGCACTCACAAGAGTCTCTTGCAAGCAGTCCACATAGTGCATGTTTAATGAGAGGAGGAATGCTGGCTCCCTTCRTTCAATAAAGAGGATGGGATGTGATCTCTTCCTATATCAGCTTGGATTTTAATTTAAAATATCTCAAGGGAAGGGCTACTGCATAAGGGAGTTGGACTTTAAAGCCAGCCATGTGCTCAGCTAAAACCAGGCACTCCTGATCTGCTCTTGCCTTCCTTTGAAATTAAATTGTAGCTGGGGTTATAGCAGTGCAGATGATCAGGAGCACAGAGGTGAAGGAGCAGTGTCTTTGGACTTTACAGGACTCGCAGTGAAGGTCACGCTGTTGCATCCTGTGTCAGTAGCTAACTTTTTTTGTAGCTGCATGGAGAGTTGTGTTTGTGCATGATTCCAGGTGGAGGCCTGATGAGACTATGCAGGATCTTAGACTGTGTTTATGTAATAAAGACACTACAGTCCATAGCAGGGAAGCATGACATGTCTGTGTGTCTCTGTTGTTGTCACTGTTAGTCCTGATTAGAAAAAGCYGTTCAGTTAATTTTGTCCCTTTTTTATGCATGAGTAGTTTCTTCCTTCACCCCCACCAAACAACTGCAGTTGAGGAGAGCACAGTCTTCCACTTCCTTTGGTGTGGACATCGTGCTGTCTTCACCTTATTAATGTTCCTAGTTGGTTCTGAGTTTATGCAYTGAAGTGTGATCTGAGCCTTCCACATTGCTTCAGTCATATGGAGAACCTCTTTCAAATGAGGCTTCAGGAGGACAGAATGCATGTAAATTATCTTGTTAGGCTGGGTAGATATAAAGTACTTGTTTTTTGTTGCATCGTGTCCATTATTTTAAGGAATTCTCAACTGTATTAGTTGTTGTTGTGTAGATCACCTGCTTTCCTGCACCAGARCTTAGACAGGTTCTGGCATCAGTCAGTGCTGCAACCTCTGCCAGGTGGCTGCACACACATGAACAGATACTTCTGCAGTTCATTCATACTTAGAGACAGCCTTGCTTCTGTCTGGAAGTATGGTGTCTGTCTCTCCTTTCCTTTTTGAGACTTTTGTGACWTCTTTAAGAATTATGTGGACAGATCCAGGAAAAGATTGGAAGTCCAGTAGAAAAGCAGAATACAACTACAAGCAGTTCTAAAACGCTCCATAATCACCCTGCTGACAAAGCTTTTGGGTCAGACTCCTTCCCTTCATGGTGCTGGATGAAAGCTGTCTGTAKATCAACTCACAAGCACAGGAACCTCCCTGTAGCATTTGTAGTGAGAAACATCCTCCCTGTGCAGCTTTTTATGGCAGAACCACTGCTGAAGAAGGGTCTCCTGATACCTGAGCAGCTGGCAGGTCTAGACCTGGCCTTCCTCCTCTGGAGCACACCTTTGCTGGCAGCTGGATTCAACAGCTGCCATGCTTCTCTAGATAAGCATCCTCTTCCCTAAACGGGAATTTTTTCCTACCAACTTTCTACCTCATATTTTGGGATAACCAGACAATATGTACAGGGTACGCACCTATTTCTGCAAGAAGTTGTTGTAAAATGTGCAAAGCTGAAGCAAAGTTGAAGTGATCTTCAATAGCCGGCTGATTGCATTTATTTTTAATTAAGTTACACTTTTTCATGCTCTCTTTTGTGGCTCTCCTGTTGTCTCAGACTGCTGGCATTCACAGGTCTCCATCACTCAGTCACTATGGGCGCTYTCAGGTAACCTTAAGGTGACTGTCTTTCTTCTTTTTTGCTGCCAGTGTTGGCTCTTGCCAGACAGAATTCTTAATTTACAGCCCTGAAGCACAGCACAACGTTCTGTAGATGCTTTCTAATGCTTAAAACTGCTTTGTCTGGAGTTGGCAAGGCCCTCGTTAACCCCTGTCACCTGAGGCTTTGCATTTGGCTGTGTTCCCTTTGCTGAGAAGTAGCAGCGATGTGGAAATCAAAGGTCTTTTATAATGCCAGACAGCCTTTGCCAGGCTACAGGGATGTCACCAATGTCTAAAGAGATGACATGGGGAAATACATAAAACCGGAGGGGAAAATAGATGGCCATGTGTCTCATTAATTTCAGTTTTAATGGTGTGTTGCTTTGAGAAGATGTCACAGCTGGGTGAAGGGGGAGTAGGACACTGTGGCCAGCGTGTGTTGCACATAAGTTCATTGGGCAGCATTACAGCAGTGACTCAAACTTAACACAAGTCCTGGCTTCTTTTTATCATTTTTGGTTAGTGGACAAGGTTCACAGCACTCTCAACATGAGGAAAATTCTTTGCCAATTATGTGGAAAATCCTGACAGATTCCCAGTTGGAGTAAGGTTGAGAGACCTTGGGGTTTTTCTTCTTARAAACAGAAACATCAGGGAAATGAACAGCCCTGTTTGGATTTTCTGGAAGATGGTCTAAAACCTGGGGGCATTCACAGGTTGAAACTCTCACTTTTAAAGTTCCTAGTCCTGCTTCCAAAGCACTTGCAAGGAAAACTTGCTTTTCTGACTTGAGGAGCTGTCTTTAAAGCTGGAGATTCTTTGTCTTCTCTCGGTGTTACAGCTGCAAACCCCCAGTCAGGTCTAGTGCAGCAGAGCCAAAGCAYACCTGTTTGGCTGCCACAGCTTGGCATACCTGAGGCAGCAGCTACAAAAAACAGGCTGTAGCAGCAAGAAGGACTATAACATAACTGGGAAGTGCAGGGATTGGTGTATTGTCTCTGAACTGTTGGGTTTGGTGAAGGATTTCAGTCAGGAAATGTTTAATACTTCTAGCTGTCCTTCCAGCTTCTTAAAATATCATTTCGTGTCACTCACTTTGCTTTCCAAAACTGGAGGGATGCAGYTTGTAAATGAAGATTATTGGCAATTATATAGGCTTTGGAACCACTTTGTTTCAGCAGAGGTCCTGYTTGAAGTAAGGGTTTATAGGAGAGTTAGTGGTTCTGTTGGGSGTAGGTGCACAAGAATACCAGCATGAAATACCAAGCTCTGTTTAAATCAAGCTTGTACTTCAAAGTGAAAAACTATACTGACAAAATAATCAAATATTCCCCTGCCTCAGTACAGTGTCATAAGACTAAAATTTCTCTTGAAATACCTGAACATTCAGTAACTATCTCTCCCCACGTCTCTGAATCATCCCTCTCCAAAGTTCTTTGTTGCACGGGATTATTTCATGCCATCTTTAATGAGTTACTGTGTTTAGGATGCCAACAAGGCTTCACAAGTGAAAGCGTCAAGTGGCTTCCTCTCTGATGTGGGGTTTGTTGGGTTTTTTAATGCTCAACATATTTRCAGCAATTCTTGTATTCCAGTCCAGAATGGATGCCCGTTACCCTCAGTGTTTACACTGTAAGGTTATCCCTTTAAAGAATTCCTGAGGGAAGTTCAAAAGGTTTTTTTTTTTCCTTTGAAAGATTCAGTGTCTCTTTTTGTGTGTATGTTTCTTACTTGAAAGAAGGGAAGGGAGGGGGGAAGTGGAAAAAAAGTGCTTTATCTGAAAAGAATCACATCAGCTTCACACTGATAGAAGCTGCTGTCATCTCTTAAACGGCTTAGCACAGTCAAAAGGCAAGAGGACTTAAAACAGTGTCTTACACAGGGATCGATGGGTGGAACACATAACTGGTAACTGCAAAAAAAAAAAAAAGCAGCTCGGGGGGAGAGATAACGGTAATGATTGCATTGAGGGAAGCTTGAGGGAGGCTTGTTCTTTGTAACACAGCTTCAAAGGTGTCTGGACTGGTGCCTAAGCAAACTGTCCTGTGAAGTTGCTGCCTCTGTAGGTCTAGGGAAGGCGGAGGGGGGTGGGGGATGCTTGCACCCTTCTGTTTCTTAACAGATGGGACAAAGATTAGTAAATGCCAGGTTAGCGGCTCCCTTCTGCTGTGTGGGATTTGAGGAGCGGATTTTGTCACTTGGTCTCTTTCAGTCGGTTGAGGGAGGCAGCTCGTCCGGCAGAGGGGAAGGAGGAGAGCAGGGCTGGGGCGGTTGGGGAGCTGGGTGTGGGGCGGGATGTCAGTTTATCGATCGCACCTCAGTCAGGAGAGCTGCGGGCGCACTGCTCTGAGCACGAGCGGCAGCGTGCTTAATGTGATTGAAAGGCAGTTAAAATGGCGGTGACCTTTTCAGGGGGAATTAGATTGCCTGCCAAGAGTGGTTAGAGGGAGTGATAACGCCAGCTTGAGGAAGCTGTCCAGTCTGCTTCAAAGGGAGAGAGACAGGGAAAGCAAGCTGGCAGCAAGTACCATTTAAGGCA